ATTTAGGTCAAATTTCCATTTAAAAATTTGTTAGAAATAAAATTTTTTTAAAAATTTATTTAAACAAATGCAAAATTTTTTTTTAACATTTGGGACTAGTTGCATTGTATTTTTAGGACCTTAAACTATAAGAAACCGTCATAATTAAAAATTCGATTTTTTGGTCGATAACACCGTTTTCTCAGACCCGGTCACATATATTCCTACCCAAATAAGTATGAAATCCTGCAAATTTGAACCCTTAATTTGCTTTTTTGTAGTAGTTATGGAGAGGGAAAGAAAAAATAAAAAACTCATTTTTCTCTAAAACTACTGGATCGATTTTAATAAAATTTGGATATGATATAAATACCATATATAAATTTTTTTTTCAAAAACACCTAAAAAAATTTTTTTGAAATTAAAAAATTTTTTTTTGGGGTTTTTTTATGAACATCTCTAAATTTTTTCTGAAACATTCCATCAAGTGTCCCCTTAAAAAAAATTTTTTTTGAAGAAGTACTTAGGGTACGGTCACACTATCTCATGCATGCACTGTTCATGCATGCAGAAACATATGGCCAGTCACACTTCAACGAAATCTAGTGAATGTTTAGTAACTTTCTAGTTACAATCGAAATTTTTGGAAAATTACTAGAAAGTTACTAAACATTCACTAGATTTCGTTGAAGTGTGACCGGCCAAATGTTTCTGCATGCATGCACAGTGCATGCATGAGATAGTGTGACCGTACCATTAAAGGTGAAAATATTGTAAGTATTCAAAAAAACGGGGTGCATGAATATCCCATAAAATCATTAGATAGAATTTTCATTTGTATGAATTTCATTTTTCAAAATTTCTTTTCAGATGAATTTTCATTTTTCAAATTAGTATTTAAGTTACTTTCATTGTAAACTAAATTTTATTTAACATAATTTTTAGCAGTGTTGCCAGATGCGATGAAACAAATTATGGACTCGACCTATCAAAATTATGGTACATTATGGTACGCAGCGCGAAATTCAAATTTAAACTGGGATAAATTTTATTAATACGGTTACTCAAGAAGAAAATTTTTTTATTTGTATACATTTTTAAATAAATATTAATAATAAATTAAAAATATATTATGCTCTTGTTAATTAAAATTGTTAAAGAAAAAAATTTCAGTTCCGTAGATTTTTAAATTTTTAAAATAAATAATAATAAATTAACAGTATTATGCTCTTATTAATTGATAGTTCTAAACGTAAAATATTTATTGGCAAAACTTAAAATTAGTTCAACTTGAGTTAAAAAGTATCTCGTAATCTAATATAAAATCTTAAAATTGAACAAATTGAAAATTCTAATTTGAATCAAACGTAATATCACATGTTTCCTCATTTTCAGACTGACTACCATTCGATTCCTTATTTTCATTCCAATTTTTTGTTGTGTTACTCTAATAGAGCGTTTCTATTGGTTTTACGCTCTTTTACTTTAAATTTACGCTGGCATGTGATGGGGCCTTTATTTTTTTTGTACAGTGAGGGTACGGTCACACTATCTCATGCGTGCACTGTGCATGCATGCAGAAACATTAAAAAAAAAAAATTTTTTAACCACCCTAATTATTATTTTATCTTATTATATTATCTTAACGCTTTAGCCGTTTATACATGTTTATAAAACTGACTAAAAAAAATTTAGTTACGCCAAAAACACGATGAAACAAAAAAAATGTGTGCTTAGCTGCGATTCGTGTGCATGCCGCCTGTAAATGTGGGTCAAATCTGTCCCAGCGAAAATATTTAAGTTTATTGTAGCTAATAAAAGACTAGGATCGTCACCTTTAGGCGTTAGTACTCTTTCCTACGTTACTTTTTTTAGGTGAAGACAGCAGCAGGTTCTAATCGCTTTTTTAAAAGATATTAAACTAAACAGTTTTGGCTGGGACACAAATGACCCACGTTTACAGACGAAGAGTTAAAAAAAAGTCAAAAAAAATTTGTTTTTCAAAAAAGGATCAAATTTTGAATTTTTTGAAATTTTTTTTGCAACATTCGAAACATCAGGAAAAAACCTTTCAAAAACATGTAGGTCAAATTTTTTTCATCTTTCTGTTTAAAAGTTATAAGTTTTCAAAAATTCACTGTTTAAATTTTTCAAAAAAATTCAACCTCCTCCCACTCCTACAGTTTTTGAAAAAACCTAACAATACTTCGTGGTTACCCCTAGGGGTAAACTATGTGCAAGTTACAGCCCGATACAATTAACTTTTTTTTCACTAAGTACACTGCAGGAATTTTACCCCTTATAAATCACGGAAAAATTAGCAGATACGATTTAGATCAAAGCATCATTTTCATCGTATAGGTAAGCAGAAACATAAAAAATGTTCAAAAAGTTGCCACAATGAAACTCAACAATATCGTCCATCCTGCACGGTGTGTGCAGTGCGCTATCCATGCGCGTTGTAGGGCTGTATTATACTTACATTAAGTATTATTTATTACATAGTTCTTTAAAACTTTATTAATGTTGATTTTTTAACTCTCTCTGCATTTATAAAAAATTTACAATCTTTCGTCTTTACAAGTTTAAACATTCAAAAATTCAATTTTTTCTCAAAATTCATTTAGAACTTAACTTATTTCGAAAATTAAATAACGAGCGTAATACAGGCATTAAAATAATGACAATCTCAACCCTGTGAAATGCAGAGAGCGTTAAAAAATCATCATTAATAAAGTTTTAACCTTTATGGGACTGACGAGGTACCCGAGTACCTTTTGCATTTTCAAATTGATTTTTTTCTATAATTTTTAAAAACGTATCGACCTAAGCTTTTTTGACATATCAAATTTATCCATACAAAGTGTTTTAATATTATTTATAATGTTAATTGAACTGCTCATTTTAATATAAAGTCTTCAATAAATTAAACATAGGTACCCGGGTGCCTCGTCCGTCCACACTGAAAAAAAAGTTAATTGAATCAAGTAAATGCATTTACTTGAGATACAAGTAAATACATCTTACTGTTTCAAGCGAACTGTTTTACTTGCGTCAAGAACCGAAAAAGTATTAAGTCAAGAATATTATTTTCTCATGTCAAGTGATTTACGTTGAGTATTTTATTTTCTTGAGTCAAATCATTTTGTTGTTTCCTTTAAAACAACTTTTTATTTAATCTAACACTCATAGTCTTGATCCAAGGAAATGGAAAGATTAATAGAAGTAGATACTTGTTTCAACTTGATTAAAAAATATATTGTTTAAATTAAACATTAATCAATCCAAGTGTTTAATATACTTGAAGCATTTTCATATTATATTGTTTCAAGAACATTCAATTTCTAGAAATAATATTATATTACCTTAAATGACATAATTTATTTTTTCAGTTGAAATAGTGATATAATCTTGAATGAAATCATTCTTTTGTTTCCTTGAAAATATTTTTTATTTAATTCAACGCTAATATAGTCTTGAGTCAAGAAAATGCGAATACTAATATAAGTAAATACTTGTTTTAACTTGATTAACACATAGTTCTTGAATAAAGAATTTAGTATTTGGCAGAAGTAAATATGTTATTATCACAACCCAATATTTTATTTTCCCTAAGTACCAAAAAGTATTCAATCAAAAATATTATGTTCAAAAATATATATATTAATGTTCAGAAATGTGCACCAAGTAAATGGTTTTCTTGAAACAGTAGCATAATTGATTTGACCGTATTCAGTCCCACGATTTTCTTGAACCAAGTAAAATTTTCTTGGTTCAATACTATTTTTTTCAGTACATAGAAGGTGTTTTTTCCTCAGTCCCATAAAGGTTAAAGAACTATGTAATAAATAATACATAATGTAAGCATAATACCTATTTAGAACAAAATTTTGATATTATATGATAAATGATAAAAATTCGAAAGTTTTGAAAATAAGGAGCACCCTAACAGACAATAAGTTTGTCTAAACTTACTTACTGTTTAGATTTAAATTACTGATTTCACTGTTTTAAAACAATCTAAATACTTGTAATAATTGTTTTCTTACATAAAGCATTATGTGCATCTTGGAGGCAAGCCTTTTGCTTATTTTGCCTTCTTGATACATAACGCACTATTTCTTTCTAATTTTGTATTCACCCTAGCGGAATGAATATTATTTGAAAATTAATTTGTTTCTTCGAAAAATATTTATTAAATCGACAAAATATGAAGAAAACAAGTATTTTAAAAGATAAATGTAGGTTAGAAGAGTCAATTTATGTAGGAAATTTAATAACTAAAGCAGTAAATAATTTTATCTAATATTAATTGTGCAATAAGTACCTGTCAATTTGTCAATTCTTTGGTATTTCGAAATATTTTGATAAATTGATAAAGAATTTAATTTTCATTCATAAGGAAATATGAAATTTATTAAATTCTATTATGTGTGATCGGTAATATGGTTTATTTATATCACGAATGTCAAATTTGATTCCGTTTCGACATTTGTAACGAAACGAAAATAGAATGTACTTTAATGCGGTTTGGTAAACGAAACGAAAGTCGAATGGACTAAATAAAATATTGAACATCACTTTTACTTACAAAGTTTGCTTACATTATTAAAATTTGTATTTTATATTGACGTACTAGGTATAAAAAGTTCTTGATTTTCTTCGTACAACCGAAATGTAACTTACATATATTTTTACTTTACATGGTAGTTTTAATAGCAGAATAAAATGTTATAAATATTTTTTGCACAAAAAATGTGAAAGTTTTAGAAAATGTATAAAAATATTTTGATTAATATTTTTAACCTCTCCTCCCTTTTAAAAAAGGGAAAAGTCAGGAATGCTAATTAAATTTCAACAATGGCTTTTTTTTATCATTTTTCAATTAGCGGTATTTTTAAACTTGAAACTATAATGCATTTTTGGTTGATAAATTTGTGTCTCATAAGTGTTAAAAGGAAAGAAATCAGAAAACATTTAGACTAACTATACATTCACGATTTTAAATAGAAGATACGAACCTCTTCAAGTGCAGTAATAGTTTGTCTACATTGTGGCATTCTGGACACGAAAGTTGAGGTTGTAGGAGAGTTATAATCCTCTCTGGATTCTTCTACGAAATCGCTGACTGTGATTAATCCAGGCATTTTGCACAGTGTTTACTTACTTACAGTCCAGTTGTTTTTTTACTGTAAACAATTAGAAATAATAGAATGTCACCAAGTAACAAAATATCTATACATAAAATTGAAATCTGCTAAAGAATAACATATTAATCTTGAAGACAAAAATTCGCAGAAAATGTATTAATTCACCTACACAATGGTGTTTTTAATCTGAACAGTTAGTCATTGTTTTTCTGTTTTTCAATACCTATCCACTTGTGTTATCGAATTTAACTGGAAAATTTTTTTATATGCATATTTTATTATGTGCTGACACAATAAACTTGTCTAATTATTGCAATTAATTTTACCCGACTGACATAACATGATTGTCATTTATCAAATTTAGACATTATTACAATCAGATATTGTTCAATTTATATTTGACAATTTAATAGAGATTGTCCGGTATGCCCTGTCAGCCAACCACAGAACTAAACATGATAAGAGTGAAGTCATGGTGAAGTCCAATAGGCAGAGATGGGCAAAAGTGCTTTTCTGGAGGTATTCTACGTATAATACATAAATGACGTATTATACGTATAATACTGTAGAAAACCAGGTTTTCGACATTGTAGCCGCATCCACGAAGTAGTA